ACCACCATCATGTATTTCTCCATTTAAAAGGACATTGCTTGCTTTAAAATAAAAAAAAAATCTGATTCTGCAAACACTTACACATGGCTGGCAACCCAACACCCATTCAAACCATTGGAAAGACTCCCATTAACTTCTCTGGGAGTTAGATCAAGCCCTCTATGAGTAACTTTGTTCAGATGAGCACTACTGTGGAGAAAATTCATACCCAAATACTGCAAATAAACACATTCCTTTATCTATGTTACTGATAACACCTTAGAAAGCATTGGTTTGATCGGTTGATTTTTCACGGTCTAAGATGTTTGTTTACTGTATGTATTTCTCTGTTTGCATAAAGAAAAGCCATGAAGTCAGGCTCTGTTTACAGTCACTTGGAAGCATGAAATCAATGAGAGTTCTACTTTGGTGCAATGTTTGGGTTGCAAACGCCACAGAAGGATGTTTATTGGTTGAAAAACAACTTCTGTGTTGTGTTCCTTTTTAAATTATGGAAATATTTCTACTGATCTCTGCTTTGATAAAAGCTTGAGGCTCACTTTTCAGAGAAGCCAAGCACGTATAATCAATGCGAGATGTATATACTCAGCACCTCTAAAAATTTGCAGTAGTAGGGAGGGTTTATACTTGAAAATATGAAAAAACATGCAAAAATATTTAATAAATTTCAATTGGTTTTCTATTGTTTAACTGTGCGATTAAAACTGTGATCACAATTAATTTTTTTAAACGATTAATTTTTTTGAGTTAATCATGAGTTAACTGCAATTAATCGACAGCCCTAAAAATATATAGATTGAAAGTCAATGGGTTGTAGGCACCTAAGTCACTTTGAAAACAGGACTTAGGCTCCTGTACCTTTTAGGCACTTTTGCAAACGTTACCCACAATGTATTAGTCATAATCAAAGGAGTTTAGGGCTTCACCCTCCAATAAGCCTTGCAGATGCAGATTTCTTCCCCCACGCAGGGTCCCACTGGTTTCTTTGAGGTTCCACATGAGCACAGGGTTCATTGCAGGCCTGGGGCCTTGGATTGGTAATGTAATAGTGCAAAACTGAATGTCTGTGATGGTTCATAGTTGAATATTATGTCAGTGCCACTAGAGGTCAGTGTCAGGTAAAGGAACTTCCTAGTGTGCTAGACTGCATGAAATCCAGACAGAATTCCCCTAGATTTACTGAATTATTTATTTCTTGGAGATTTATTGAACTCTTATAGGCCTGCTTTCAAAATAAAAAGCAATGAACATTAGTAAAGAAATCCCCTGGTGATGAGCAATAGAGCAATTCTGTCTCCAGGGAAGTCAATCCAAAGGGCACATTCATGCATACGCTTACTACAGGGTAAACACAATGCTCAATAGCAAATGTTTCCAGAATGGGGCACGCGCCCGCTAGTTCTTTCAGAGCATTGTAGAGAATAGACCGCAATTCTAGTCACAGTGAACCTGCGTATACAAGGCCATAGCTGATCCTACTGCGGTCGATGGCTGAACTACTCTTGATTTCGATGGGACCAGTATTTAGCCTATAACAACTTTCTTACGAGAGGTTCCACTCTATCTTAAGGGGTTCCCCGAGGAGGATGCTCATCCAATAAACTGCAGAAATCTCATTCTGCGGAGTACTGACAGCAGCACATTATCTGCCAAGTGGTTTAAGTGAACCCGTAATTTGTTCTTGACATTTAAGTATCTTCAGATTTATTTGTGTATGTCACTGGAAACTTTTTTATAATATCTTTATTCCAGAGCTTTGTTATCCTTTAAATCCAAGAAAAAGTATGCAATAGCGAAGCCATTTCTATGTATTCAGTGTAATGTAATTAATATGTATTCAATTAAATACAATATAGGTTGATATTCACTCTATTTCTAGTTTGAGGGCTTAAGTGAGACTTTAATTTGGCATAGGATTTGTGCAAGGACTCTGCATAGGGTAAATTTCCCCATAGTACTGATCTCAGATCACCCTCATACCGGTCAGTAAAGCAGACTCTGATTAACATATAGGACGCACTAGTAAGGATCATCATGGTTGTTGTTTGGTTTGAAATATTACTAGATAATGGGCACTGTCTGGAGGCTTTAGCTGAAGGACTTTTGTCATACTCCAATCAAAAACTCAGAAAAACTGCTAGAGAAACACTCTTCAAAAATGTGTTAATAGCATGTGTGCATTGTGGCTGAATCCAAGCTGCTAGGTAATCACAAGAGTCAGGATGCTTTATCCACACTTAATTCTGGGCACAAAGGATAGATTGTATTCCACTACCGCCCCTCTCTTCAATCTAAATGCATCCTGGAGCAATGACCTCATTTAGGAGGCATCTGTCTGTCCCTGAATGTCTGACCTTGATCGTTTGCAGACTTGTCTTTTATATAGTGGAAAAATCAATGAAGAGCATACAAATCCAGTAAACATGATGCATTCAGAAATCATCCCCTCGCTTTCTCTCCCCCCCACCCCTTTGATACAATTCATAGTTTTGAAGGATAAAATAATGTAGGGAAGGGAAAATGAGACACTAAAAATAAACCTTCCTGCAGAGCAAATTATGAATAGAAATAAATTATGTATTGGCAAATGTGGATCTGATCGTTACAAATGTGAGGATGGCAGTAATAATGCAACAGCATTTCTCTGAATTAGGAAGTCATCATTATGCTCATTTTAATCTATCACTTAACTCAGCATTCCAGAAAGGAACTCATTTGTTATAAGCACCTCATTTGAAGAAAAGCCTGCAAGAGCAGGCATGAATGGCTGTGTGTGAGGAAGAGATAGAGTTCCCCGTTACATTTGCTGGAGACTGGGAATTAAATCGAAAAGCCTGAATAATTAATTGAAAATAGAGGGGTTTTTCCCTATTAATAATTATTCACCAATATTTTTCCTTTATTTGACCAGTTCTGGTTTACTGTAAATTAAGCTTGCTCCATAAAATAAATTGACTCCAAACTCTAAGCCAGGTCCGTAGCTTGTGTAAATTAGCATTGCCCCACTCAATAGTGCCATGTTGATTTACACCAGTGAAGGATCTGGCCTTCTGCTTATTAAAATCACAGAGTCCCAGAGGTAGAACACACCTATGAAATTACACCTAGTCCATCGTTGAAATCAATGGAGGAATGAGAGTTTTCAGCAGCTGAGGCTTTACCTCTTTCTCAATTCCTGCCTTGGCCACTGTGGCCCAGATCCTCAAAGATCTCAATGGGAGTTAAGTGCCTAAATGCCTTTGAGGATCTGAGTCTGTGTGACCTTCCTTTGAGATCTACAACCGAAAAGCTGAAAAGTGTAACATATTATATATTATATTTGCAACGCCCATAATAGATAACCTGATTGGTGCTGCCTTTCTGATTGTAGCATCTAGAAAACTCTTCCCAGACAAGTTTTTAGCATCACACAAATTATGTTCTCACCCTAAATGGAGAGAACATTTAATTGACCGACACAAGGGGCTCTCTAACAGATCTTGAGTTGGCTGGGTTTAGGACCTGCTGCAACACTTATTTTCTCTGGCATTTGCCTTAAGAAACCCATGGGGAAGTGTTGCATTGTTGTGGTGTTTTGGAACACTTTTCATAGCTGAATAACCCCAGTGGGCCAGAGCCTCAGCTGATGTGACTACACATCGCTGTCCATCTAGTGATGTCGGCTGAGCTATTTACACCAGCTGAGGATCTGGCCTAGTATATATTATTCTTGGTATTTGTGGGTAGTTTTAGAATAATCAGATCTATATTATGAAACCCCACACATGGATTCCAAGCATATCACACACGGCCAGGCCAGAGTAGCTCCATTTGTATGTATGGGGGAGTAGAACTTGCACCAAACTGGGGGTAAACCATTCTCTAGACACCATCAAGGAATTCCCCACCCCCACCCTTTTTCACTAAAGATGTTGAATTTTTCTAGTTTCTTCCAAACTCCAGAGGTGAGGGGAACAGACGGGAACATTGTCTCCATGTTCCCTCCCCCACCCCACTTCCCACTGAATTAAAAAAAAAAAATCCTTCTCCTGGGCCATTACTTGTCGGGCACAGTTTATACACGGAACACTCAATATGTGCCCTTACACTTTAAACAGCTGGAAGCAGCTTTGGCTGCAACAGCCGCCTCATGTGCCAGCCAAAAAATCCCACAAGGTTGGGAGCTAATTTTTTAAGGCAAGATTTACGTCCTGAGCAGCTTCCAAAAACGACGAAGGAACGCGGTGGCAAGTGGTCGAGGAATCATTTCGTGAGCTGGCTGCAGCTCCGGAGGCCTCTGCCAAGGCGCTGGGTGGCTGGGTGGGGGAGAAAGAGGGATTCCTTTCCCAGGGGAGGCTTTTCAGCACCCTGGACAGCACCGCTCTACCCCACCTGCGGGCGGCCAGAGAGTTTTATTCCGCCTTCCCCTGGACCCGCGGGGATGCGGGAAGCCGGGACTCGGGCGCCTCCCCGGAGACGGACCGTGCACTGGGGGTCCTGCGTTGCCGGGGGTCAGAGCTGGACGCCTGGCCTCTCACCGGGGGCAGCCGAGCAGACCTGGAAGCCATGGGGCGGCTGGAGGGGGCGAAGGGCTCCCACCCAGGCAGCTCTCTTGCTGGGGTGATTTTCCCCCGACCCCCCATCCCCTCTTCCCGTGCTGAAATCAGCATCCTCCGGCGCAGCGGGCACCTCTCCCGGGAGGCGCCCGGGGATGATTTCATCACGCGGAGGTTGTCAGTGCAGACAGCCCGGCTCTGAGCTCACCAGTTCCGGTCACGTTGCCGTGTGTTTACGCCTTGCCTGGCTGGCTGGCAGCTCTGCGCTCCCCGGCAGCCTGCGGCTTGCAACCCGGTCCGCGGCGCTGGGGAGCGACCCGGGCCCGGCCCTGCCATGGAGACCGCCACTTCTTGGCCAGTGCGCCGGGAGGAGATCTAGGGCAGAAGGAAAAGAGGGGCTGGGGGGGTTGCATTGCGCCCCCCCCATCTGAGGATTTTTTTGGGGGGTGGGTGGGTTTTGGGGATGCGGGTGAACGCTGGGAGGGTGCCCTGGCTTTTCTAAGCCTCCACCCCTCCAACAAGCTTCGCCCTTGTCCAGCTGCTGTGCAAGATCTCCCTTGATGACAGCCTGCAGCTGCCAGCACGTTCTCCTGTCGCCTCCCCAGGTAAGAGCAGATGGGCATGTTGTCTGGGGGGGGGGGGGGGTCAGCAAGGGAGATCTGGTCTTGGAGATGGCGGGGGGGGGGAGAAGAGGTGCGACACAAAGTCCGCGGGGGGGGGGGAGGGAGCGGCGGCGGCATGATTGCATGGAAACTCCTAGTGTTCATGAATGTCCTTAGCTGAGTGGGACTCAGGTCCAGAGCAGCTTCAGAACTTGGATGATCATCAGGCAAAGTCATCCTGGGCTGTGTCCTGCTCAGATCTGTCCTCTCCTTTAGACTAGACAGGGGGGGGGGGCGGAAGAGGGAGAGAGAGAAAGAAGAGAAGAGAAGCACCTTTAGTGCCTGGTTAAACTCAGAAAAGAATTAAACACTAAAATCTAGTGGGTTCAGAGCCTGTTCAGTGACCCTGACACCAACTTCTCTAATTAAAACCATGCCCTGAGTCCCAGCAGGGCCCATTTCACTGAGGCTGGGGTGGTGCAAGGAGAGCAGTGGGTGGTGAATTCCAGCTGTTTGATGGCGGGGGGGGGGTGGTTTTGATATCTCTGCCAGTGCTAAGTTATTAAAACCCTTTATAAACGCGCTTTCTCTCCACCCCACATGAGAGCATTCCCTTGTGCTCTCCAGCTAATGAAGGGCTTTAAAGTGGTTCCAAGCTGCAGTTCTTTCCTGCAAGAATTAAAGAGCTAGCACAGATTTAGCTTTTCTAGGGCCAACAGAAGTAACATCTCCCTAAGAGGATATGCAAGCAGGTTTTAGACCTACAGTGGTGAAAAGGTCTTGTGTAACCTGGGGGAACTTTTCTTCCTGAAGTTGCCTGGAGCCCTTCTTGGTGCAGTTTTAGAAGTTGCCTAGCCCTGGGGCTGATAGCTCTTCCTTCCTGGAGCTTCTGGTGCAGATAATGGTTTCAGAGGTGCCTGAGACTCTGCAATTGCTGGTGGAAATAGGTGGAGTCCATGAGAGTTTTGCCATTCAGAGTTTTGAATTCAGTGACTTCAGGATCAGGCCAAAGGAATCACTTATGATCTCTGCACAGTGTTGATCGTGGCCCAAATTCTGCTCCCAGAAATGCTAACATGAACCGCGGTAATTCCAGTGAAGCCAAAGAACAGAAGTTGGCCTTATGTTTAATGTATAGTGAAATAAAAAGACATTAGCTGTTACTCGGGCAGGAATGTTTAAATAATTGATAGGAAACAGCTTTTTCATTCATGTTTACCCTGATTGAAGCGGATAATAAGACTAGCAACTAGGAATCTTTAGGTGTATGAATGCTGTTATACCTTTTGAAATTTGCCCGGTTCCCTTTGCAGGACTGATGCCCAAAAATTCACATCAATTTATGGTGTATTCCAAGTAGTCAACATGAGGAGTTTATCTACTAATAATAAATCTGTTCAGAATTCTTCAATTTAGTTGAGATCAGGCTCCTGCCCGGGGTTTAAAATGGTCTATTTTTTTTTTTAACACAAGTCCTTTGCAAACATTTTCCTGCCAGTAAATCAAAGAGTTTCCACTTAGTAATTAACATGTACGCTGAACCAATAGTGAGCGGGACTTTCAGAGATTAAGACCTGAAGAGACCATTGTGATCACCTAGTCTGGTCTCCTGCAGATCAGAGACCCTAGAACTTCAACCAGGAATTCCTGCATCAAGCCCAGTAGCTTTTAGAACTCTTTTAGAAAGGCATCTGGTCTCAGTGTAAAGACTTCAAGTGATGGAGAAGTGTTGGACGAAGACTGGCACACGAACAAGGGATCTTGTGCAAGAGACCTTGATTCTCTTCCTAGCTTTGCCAAAGATTACCTGTGTGACCACAGGTAAGTCATGTATGGACTGAGCCACTGCCCACTGAAGAGTCCTTCTGTTGACTTTGATGGGCATTGGATCCAGCTCTTGGTACCTTATTTTCATGGCTCCTATACGCTCGCGACCTCAATGGTGAGTCAATGGGAAGGAAGTGCTGGTGCTCAGCATCTCTGTGAATCAGACCCTTAACCTCTCTGTGCCTCAGCATTCCTATTGTAAAACAGGGGTACAGGTATGTACCTACCCCACAAGGTGGCTATGAGTTTGTTAGTGTTTGTAAAGCACTCCAAGGTCCTCGGAGTAAAGTGCTTTGAGGTAATTGAATGGAAAATGCTACAGAAGGGTAAAGCATTACCAAACAACTGTTCCTTGGCCAATAGGAAAAAATACTATACATCAGGAATTACAGACGATGATCTGTGCATAGCTCCTCATCTTTTAAAATGGCACAGCAGTTAGATCTTGTGAAGTGACTGTTCACCTATATTCATTGAATTAAATACTCAATGAATTGTTGCTCTCTCTACTTTACAGTAAAGGCAGAGAAAAAAAGGAAACAATCATTCACTGAGAATCAGATTTAAAAATTCTTAAGCAATCCAGGTAGGTTAACAGATAGGCAGATTGCCACTGTAAAGCAGTAATTCAGCCATAGGGTTCCAATAATATAACACACTTGAGCAAGTTATAAATGTTAATCGGAACCCCGAGATTGAATTACAGCCTTAGTAATTGTTATTGGCCCTTACATTGATACTCAGAATATACAGAAGCACAATAAATAGAAGGGGAACAGAAGACTCATTTCTTAAAAATGAAAAGATTTGAAGAGTGGGTTTAGAGCTTGTGAAAGGTGACAGAGTGGCAGCCCTGAGAAAGCTCAGTGGTAGCATGAGAGGTATCATTGCATTTCAACCCTGGTTTGACCCTAGCCTTAGCTCCACCAGCTAACGTAGACAATGACTCAGTTGAACTCTTCCATCTCTGGCTTCTCTGCTGTTTGCCCTTAGTGACAGCAGCGTGACTGTGCCTTCTTACCAATGATGCCATGGCGTTCCAATGAACACAACTAAGTGCCTGTCATGTCAACACAATTGTGCCAGTCTCAGTGTTCACAGCAATTTCACACACATGCCTCCTGGTGATACAGCAGCTCTCTAAAACTTAAAAGTTGTGAAGAAGTCCAGCTCTATGGCCCCCATTCAGCAAAGCACCGAAGCATGCGCTTTAAGCAGGTGAGTAGACCCATTGAAGTCAAGCACGTACTTAAGGGGGAAGATTTCCAAAAGCTCAAATAGGAGTTGGGCAGCTTACTGTCTTGGGAAATCTCCCTCCGAGTGCTTTGCTATATCAGTGCCTATAAGAACTAGGTCAGCCACTGTGCCAGTCAAAGGAGCAGGATACATCTTCTAATAGATTTAAATGCCTTAGATCTTGGTTCTAATTTCATATTGGTGTTGTACCAGTGTAACTGCATTTACTTAGCTCTTATATAGGGCTTTTCAATCAGTAGCTCTCAAAGCACTGTATCCCCCATTTTACACATGGGGAAACTGAGGCATGGCTCTGAAGTGACTCACCCAAGGTCACCCAGCAGCAGAGTCAGGAGTAGAACCCAGGTCTCCTGACTTTAGTGGAATTACTCCTCATTTACACTAATGTAAGTCAGTGGAGAGTGTTTAGGCTTCTAATGGACTTGGAGCAAAGCTTGCAGTTCTTACAGCAGGAATTTTACCTGAGTATCTATACTAGAGGCCAGAGAACCATTTCACAAGGGAGGTAGAGGGAGACATCACTGGAGACTAGAACTAGTTAGAAACTGGTGATAGTGTCCACTAAAATTTTGGAAAGAAGCAAAACCATGCTCCATTGCTTAATGTTTACTGAGGAAATGTCAGAGGGATTTTAATTCATTCTTCCCTTCTTCACTGGGAGGGGAGGAGAATCTATTTTCCACTGGTAAAAAGGGTCAATGGAAAATTTTCAACCAATTCTAGTAGAGACATTTAATGTAGACACGACAAGATCACTTGAAAATAGCACTATAGATATATATGTACTAAAGTGCTCTGTCCAGTCTAGTGACAGATGTTTCCAGAGATGTGATTCCCACAACTTCCCTTTAGAAACCCTGTTCAAAATCTGGATAAATTCCACCTTTATGAATTTCCTGATATTCACTTAGGCCAGATTCCGATCTTGGTTACACCTCCATAAATCCAGAGGCAGTGGAATTAGTCTAGATTAATACCAGGGTAAGTGAGAGCAGAATGTGTCCTTTGCTGCAATATGATTTGTATTTGCAGGGTCTCATCATGCCTGGACAATAGAGTCAGGAAAACGTTATAATCATTATAATCACAGAAGCCATTAAAAGTGATTCCGCAAGTACTGTAACAAACATACAGCCATAAATAAAAATATCCCCCTAGCATTCAATGAGTACTTAGATACCTACAAGATGCACATAAAAGGAGCGCCAGCTCAGCTGAAATTGTTATGGGCCATCATACCATGTCTTAACCTCTGCACATTGTTTTAGTTATAAGCGATCAACCGTTAGATGGTTAAGAATGGGTCACAGTCTGGTGATCGGTTAGTGTCCAGCTGCTAGTGCTGTATTTTGAATGGGACGAAAACACTAATTATATTTGTGTTCCCAGCCTAAATATTCTGAAATGGGATGGACTTAACCAGAGAAAACTAATGAACAGGACTAAAGTTATATTGCTTCTACACAGAAAGATAGGAATAATTGGGAAGTCAAACTAATATAGACCTGGATTTTATTAGATTTAAAAAAAAAAAAAAACACAGAATTTAAGGACTGCATTGAGACTTGGATGACATGCCTTCCTGGGAGAGTCAGGAACCCCTAGAGACCTCTACATGGGCTATCCAGACATGCAGGGGTAAATAGGCAAAGGAGTATTTGGGCTTGATGTTTGTTTACATTGCTCCCTATGTAAAGGGACCTTAAAGCACATATAAATTATACTGTCTAGCGTTGCGTAAAGTGTTCTTTGTATAAGTGTGGATCTGGCCTTTGCTATCTATTTGTGTTTACAAATCTCATGAGTGGGTTTCTGTACCTCCCATGAACTGTTCAATCTAGATGGTGGAAACAGCATTAGAAGACCAGAAGTCTTGTTATTTTGCATTCATAAATGCTCCCAGTGGTAGCCAATGGAAAACTACAACCACCAAAATAAGCTACATTCACGTTTATCCAAATTCCCTCTTTTTGCTGTTTTGAAGAATCCAAACACACAGCCCTAACACAATTCTAATCTCAGCAATACTGCCGGGGCAAATCCAGAGTGACCCCATGGATTTCAATGGAATGATCAGAACAGAGATCCTGGTTTTTGATCTTCTTGGACTGCAACAATGAGTAATTTCAGTTTGATGCCCCAAGCAGCACGTAAGAAAAGAGAACATTAATTGTGGCTCATGGCTCTAAGCAACTGAACACAATATCAGGCAACGTCACAGATTTGGTACACCCCCCGTTTTGGTCCTTGTTGACAAATGTAAGCCTGACATCAGATGTAAAAAGAAAGCATTCAGTGTTGGTTAGCCCATCTCTGCTCCCATTGAAGTCAAGGGGAGTTTTACCATCAAGCAGAGTTAAGCCAACCACCAGTGAGCTTTCTTGAAAGTCCTAGCCCAAATGCCTCACTGTTCAGAAGACTTCTTGGCAGCTTTGCTCATGAGGATGATCAGCATCATTTTGCATACATTAAAAGGAGATGAAATCTGACAAACCTATCTTCAGCTGGTATAAACTGGCATAGTTCCACTTTAAATAGCTAGTACAGAGCTCTCAGGGAAGTAAAGGATAGTTCAAAGGAGTGGAAACACACTGGGATCAGCAGAGGAATGGGACTGGGACAAAGTCCACACCTCTCTTCCCAAAAGAAGAGAAAGCCATCAGCACTAACACTGCACAGTGGAGGTAGAGCTAAGGACCAGTCTTTCTAGGAAGTGTGTCTTACAGGTTCCTCCCTGAGCCTGATCTTCAGAAAATGTCTGTTACTGCCACACATGGGGAACGTTCACTGTTTCTCTCAAGCTGCAGTAGCTCATGCTTTTAGCTCTAGAGGTGCCCCTTCTGCCCTCCCTGACCCCCATTCAATCCCCAGTGGTCAGCCGAGATGGCAGCTATCACATAAGAAAGCCTCTCCACCCCCAAAAGAAAACCTTCTGCTCTATGCCAGTGGATGGTATGGTCTTAGCCATCAAAAAACAATCCTTAATAAAAAAAATTTAACTGAGACGGTAAGATCTCTCATAGTTAGAGCAAGGTCTGAAGGACTTCCCAGCCATGTTGGAAGTCAGACAAGTCACTCACCTCTGTGGCCGAGTTCCCTCATCTGTAAACTGGGGCTAAAACCACCTACCCATCTCCTGGGGTGTGGCATGGCTGCATCAATGAATATCTGTAAAGTTCAATGAGATCCTTGGAGGAAGAGTGCTATACAATGCAAAGTATTACTAGAGTGGACTTGTCTAATACCTGGTTATCAGCAAGTGATCACAACAGTAGCACATGTAAATATGGCTATATTAAAAACACACAGCTATTAATTTAGCTTTAGTGCCTAATTTTGGAAGTCCTGATATTAAGGCTCTCAAATTTTTAGAGGTTTTGGCAACAGAAAGCATTGAAACTGGTGTTTGCCAAGGCTTATTACAGTGATCGAGCTTATTTGATTAAGAGGTGGGGGGGGGGGGAATGCCACAGAATTAAGTAAAAATCCATGGGCTGTAAGCATAATCTAAAGCGTTTGCTTAATGTTGATACTGTTATGGCAAAAGACATCAGATGTAGAGGAAAAAAGAAATGGGAATAGCTTCTACGTAACAGAATGATGCACTCCATCCTTTGGAAGATTTTGCCAGCAAGCACAAGCCATCAACATGGTTTGATGCAGATAAAAAAAAAAAATCTATTGTTTCCCCCACCCTCTGGGTTTTATGCATGGAATAAGGATGGCTACCACATCCACATGTGATGGTGTTTCCCAGGATTACAGATTCTTTGAGGTTTATTTTTATCTCTGCGGCACAGTGGCACAGGTAGGCAGGCTAATGCAGCACCATTACAGAAGAAATTAACATGTAGCGATGAACTCCCTAACCTCCAGGAGCTCATCCTCCGGCAAACAGAGTTGACATCACCGCTTGCCTGTCATGTGAATTACCAGCAAACATTGTTACTTCCTCTATAAGAGAAGACAAATCTCCTTGCCACATAATACTGATTGGGTGAGACAGAGCATATTGTATTTTTCATGCATTAGATCTCATGCATTCAGAGTACATAGCTTGTCAAAGGACAACTGATGGGCCAAATTTACCCTGGTGTACCACCACTCAGGGGTGAATTTGTCCCAGATAGAACTCCACTCAGCGATGAATCTGCTTTTAAAGCATAACTGTAAGATGTGTGGGAAAGGAAATACACTGCAGCATTTTCTGCATATAATTACTGCTGCTGTTTCAGAAAAACTAAACAAGTTCAGGCCAGGGCAATACTAGGATAGGAGACCTCCAAGGAAAATCCAGGAAGTGCATCAAGTGGTCATGTGATTCAGTAAGTGATACCGTCCTCCCCCGCCCCCATCCTGAACCAATGCCCCTTCATAATGTTGTGGGGGGGTTGGAGACCACAGTGCTTTTGAATTTGCCTTCTTTTAAATAAAACCAACATCCTAACTGACTTTTGGTCCTTAGGAAACACATGATAGTTTTGGAAAGAGCAGGGGTGTTAGCCACAAATTTGGATACAATTATATCCTTCCTAGCTAAACTTGGATTCTGGTGCTCTGGCCTGTCTGGTTTTAAAGTGTCCCAAGCAATGGAGCTTCCCCTGATTTCTCAAAACTATTTCAGAGTCTTAGTCCATATCACTGCTGTGCTTCAGATAGAAGTTGCTTCACCTTAGGCCACAGCTCTACCAAAAGCCTCACACAAAGTATTCACATGCACTTTAGCTCTAGGAGGGACAAAGAAGTGGATTCAGAAAAGCCATTTTATTTCTTTAAGAGGTCAGGATGTCCTAGAGATGGGGCTGAGCTGCAAATTGCAGCTCAGAATCCAGAAACAAATCCCTCTCCAAAGTTTGGTGTCTGGATTCGGGTCAAGATCTTATTACAGATCATAGGGACCAGCTACAGAATTTGGATCCAGATCAGAGTCCAGCTTCCAACCCAGGGGGTGCAGATCTGAGCTTGGTTTCAAGCCTCTGTAAAGGAGAGAGGAAATTCACTGTAGAGTGCTATGTATTAACTGCTCCACTGAAGACATATGTAGTACAATAGAGACCATTTGTATCTTACACTGATTCTTAAAAGCAGTCCCCAGTGTAGGAACGTCCCTATACTAAGGGCCAAATTCTGCTCTGTTATGCTGGTGTAAATTTCAAATCAGTGGAGTTGTTCCAGTTTATATCAGTAACAGAGGACAATTTGGCTAAGCATTTTATTCCTTAACCGTTCTTCTGCCATCCCATCATATTTTATGGACATGTACACACTAAAACATTAAGGTTGCAAAGTCAACCCTCAAAAGTTAGACAATGCCTAATTCAGCCTCCTTGTGCCTATGCATTAAGATGCAGTCTTTAAACATCTGATCGCATACTATTTTTTCCCACTGGACCCCTGCCTCATTCAGAGCCGGACTTGCAGAAGTGCCAAGTACTCTCAGCTGCAAATGAAATCAATGGGAGCTGTGCTTTGAACATATGAAGTGCTATCTAATGCTATGTACTCTTAAAAAAAAATAATAATCAGGTGCTGGATGTCTGAAGTCAGGTAGAAAACAGCTGATACTTTTGACCTTATTGCCATTTTACAGATGGAAAACTGAGGCATGGAGATACCACCACCACCCCCCCACACACACCTCTCAGGCTGTTGTGAAAATGAAGTCATTAATCTTTGATACATTGATACTATAGTGAGGAAAGCCATTCAAAAACCACCACACATGAGGAAATGCATAATTCTGTCTTCAGAGCAAGGTTTGAATAGTGGGCAGTAAGTAAGGAATGTATGCCCCATGCAACAGTGAGGATAAAACAAAACATTGAATAGCTGCTCATTCAGTGAGCACCAAACATTCTGTGCCCTGAATGAGGAAGGGGTCCTATGGAAAAAGAAATAAAATGGAAGAGTGTAATGAAGGACTGCAAAAGGCATATGCACAAAGGTTCTGAATTAAGGTTGCACAGGCATTTCAATGCAATTCTAGCAGTTCCTAGCTTTTTAGTACTTGACTGTGCAGTCTTAATGTTCTTATATGAGAGAGAGATCCTAGTTTCTAAAAAGTAAACTAAAAAACATATCTGACATCAGTTGATGGCACGTGGATCATCAGGCCTAGATTGCCTGCTCTACCTCAGATCCCATGTGTGACCCTAGGAAAGCAGTTTAATCCGTGTCTCCATGCCCCATATACACAAGGGGGATGATAAAACTTCTCTGCCCAATCCGTAATACATGTGAGACACCAAAGCGATGGGGGTCTTAAGTAAAAAGCTCTGGTGAAATCTCTCTAGGTAAAGGGACTCACAGGGCCCCAAATGTGTGGGAAGAGAAAGGAAAGACTGGGGTTCAGCTGCTCGTAATATATCTCCAGTAGCGTTAGGCTCCCCTTTTAAATGTCTCTTGTAAAGCTGCAGGAATAATTTTCACCTCCCCAGTTGAATCACAAGTACAGTACACAGCTGCATGTCTGATCACGAACCATTTACTCCCTCCAGGCTTGGATTGTTAATTTTGTTGCGATGGAGACTGTGTCCCTGGAGCACCAGATCCAGAGCGTGCAACGACATATCACCTTCCTGAAGAAGGAACAGATGGAACTGCTCCATGACCTGCACCTCGAGATTCTCCGATTGCAAAAGCACTGTACAGGTGAATTTTTGATGTCATGGCTAGCCTCACTTAGGACACCTACATACATCTTCCCATAGAAGAGGTACCACAGACATGAAAGCCATGTACACTTTGAAGTGTGATACTCTCCCATTATGGTGTACAGGAATTGAGTAGTTATCCCTTTAAGTAGTTGTGAACCCTCTTGTGGCGCTCACTGTGTTGTATGTTTTAGAAATCAGCCAGAGCAGTGTATATGCATAACTAGGCCCTACGTGTTTCTGTAGGTTTAGTGACATGGTTGTCAGGGCCCGACTGTGCCTGTGTGATTTCTTTGTGTGATTATTGCTGTGTAAAGAGCAAAAGACACAAGGGGAAAATGGATTCCAAGCAGGAGTTTGTGAATTTCCTAAAGGAGAAGGCGGCACACGCAGGCTTAGAAGCCACTGAACAAGGAGAATAGTGTCCTACTATAATTACCCAATGATAATGCAAGATCCAAAATCCACAACCCATGAAGCAGGGAAGTTCCAATCCATTTCACAATCCAGAACCAAACTCCACAGCTGGCCTTTATGTCTACCAACCAAGAGAGCCTTGCAGCATTTCTTGAAATGCCTCTCTTCATTACACGTTTTGATGGACAGAAGGTTAAATGCTGCTTTGCAGCCTCCAGGCTAAATTGTCTAAACAAGCAGAGGACACAAATGGGATTGTAAGAGGGCTAAGGCTCCACCACGCCACCTGCTTAGGCGAATGTGACCTACCAAGATTGTGGCTCCTGATCTGCTGTGAACACTCCCTGCTGTGAGCCAGTGAATTGGGAGTGGGTGAAGCCAAGGAGCTGGGGAGCGAACAAAGCTTTTGCTCTATATCTGCGGCTTATTGGTCAGATGCAAGGATGCGGGGGGGGGGGAGAGCGGCACTTTGCAAGGACTGGAATAACTTGTTCCTCTCCATGTTCTGAGGGAGAAGCATTTCCCACACTGCAGCCGAAGGTAAGATTTCCAGCTCGGATAGACATACCCGCACTGGCGCAGATTGAGCTAGTGCGCTAAAAATAGTGGCATGGCCACAGCTGGCTGCACTGAGTACAATCCCAGCTGAAACCCGAGGTACATACCCACAGCATCTAGCCCCGCCTGCTGCCCATGCAGCTGCAGTTACACGGCTATTTTTAGCAGCTAGCTGAATCAAAGCTTGCGCATGTAGCTCTAGCTGAACTGGAAATTACAGTGCCAACCCTGTTATAGACATTGCCAAAGAGACGTGTCTAAGGACAGTATCTCCTGGGGGATAGCTTGTGCACCACCTCTTGCTTATCATGGCTGTGCCTAAAGGCAAAAATCCAGTCCTTAACTGGCTGCAGGGAATCCAATGCTGTCCTCTTTGCTCACAGTACCATTGCAGACAATGGGATGGTTCATGGAGCAAGATACTCCTCTATAGACCCCCACAGGGGGCGGGGAGGTTCCCAAGCTTGGGCTCCAGGCTGAGCCCAAACACCTACCCTGCAGTTTTAGAGCCCCACAGCCCAAGACCCTTGAGCATGAATCAGCTGACATGGGCCAACCCCAGGTGTTTCATTGCAGTGTAGACATACCCGGAGTGTCCTTAATCCCGAATACTCACACTGTTGGCACAGTTCTCATTTTACAAACATGGTCCTACAATCCTAACCAGGCATACGATGATCCCGCTGAATCCAATTTGAATAATAGCCACTAAAGCTTCTCTCGCAGTGTGGGTAACAAAATGCTACCTTGGCTGAGATACATGCTGGAGACTATGGGCACGTTTTACTCTGACACTCAGCTGGCAGAGACTTGTGCTTATAACCCATCATTGTAAAGCTACCCTTTGGTTTAATTCTACAGTCGATCACAATGCACTTCTTGAGAGAAAATTAGCTTTTGCAGTGTTCAGCTGCTACTCTGTGTTTGACTCACTATTGCTTTATCTTGCATTATCTATACTGCAGCAATTCACTGGTTGGGGGGGGGGGGAGCATGAAAGATGATCCTGCCACTTCCTCCACTGATCTGTGCCTTCAGAGGTATTTTGCCTCTTGTTTATGGATTCAGATGTAAAAACAGTTCATTCTTTCTCCCGCATGCGTAAGGACAGGAGAAAGGCTGGGCTTCATTGATAACAGCAGGGATGAGATCATACCAAAAGTCTCCTTCAGAGCAACAGGAAATGGGATCTTTTCTTCTTTTTGCAGTGAGGAAATATGAAATCAATTCTCTGACCCCCACCTCAGTCCAGAGCAGCTCAGTAACATGCAGCATCAGCAGCCCTCTTGTTTTGCTGCTTTAGGACAGAGATGCTAGATGGATGCTAAAGCTAGCAGCATAAATATATTGGGTTCCCCCCCATTGCTCATCTAAAAAAAAAAAATCTTGTCTTGTTTAAAAATTCATGCCAAGGTATCACAGTACAAGCTGCAGCTTTTTCCTGCTGCAAAGCAACCTCCCACCATTTCCACAAGATTCGCAGTTTGTGGCCTGGGAAATTTTGTTTAATGATACAATTGTGCAAGTGACAAAAGGAAGAGCTAGCTTTTAAATGCTAGCCCAAGGGGTAATGTTGTAAAATGCAGTTTCAGAGTAATACCTACTTTTACATAGTACTACTCTTCATTAGATCTAGTCTGAACTCCTGCTTTAACACAAGGCAAAGACCCATACCCAGTATCTTCTGCTCTAGGCCAGAAGTTCTGTGAGCTATCATAGGAAACAAATGGTTAAGGATCTCATCACTTAAATATACTGTAGGGGGCAATCCAAATTTGACAAGGAAGTGGACTAGACTGTGATGGGGCCTTGACCTTCGTTTAGATTTCCTAGGTTCTAACAACAAACAACTAATGCAATCTCCGATTTCTACGATTCATGAATACAGCATAAGTTCCCAACGTGGAGAAGTTAAAGAATTACTAAGGGACTGATTCTGCGAAGTTATAGGACACCTGAAGCATCCATAGGTTTGGGGGTTTCAGAGGCTGCCCCCAAGGAGCTTCAGACTTGCAGTGTTTAGGAACCCCACAGGGCACATGCCTGAAGATAAAACCTTCTCACAGAGCTTAGGCACTGCACAGGAGAGGTGTGGCCAAGGAGCTTATCTCCAGCTCTGCAAGTCTTAGACATGAAGCTTGAAGCTAAGAGGGGGTGACAGGACCACAGATTCACCATGTGCTAACTGGGGAGCCACAGGAGCCTTCCGTGAACCTGGGGGGTTGTGTGAACCGGAGTTTGGGAAAGCGAGGGTCACTTTAAAATCCTGTTGTTGCCCATGGCAGGAGATGGGCAGGTCAGAACGGATTTGTGTCTTCATCTGGAGAGGCTTTACGAAGAGCAAATGATTCACTTAACTCCCTCCCATTGCTGAAATTTGTTCTAACTCGTACAGTATCTTTCATCAATAATTCAGCAATGACTAATTGCTCATTGTCTTCTAGCTCTCCTCTCTCTCACTGACTCCAAGGAAACAAAGATAAGTCTGCAGTGACAAAATAATCTATTTTCCCCATCCCTTTCATACTTTCGCTGTTCTATTTTTTAACTAGACCCAAATGCAGTACTTCCAGCTATGAGAAGAAATAGATTTCTTGTGCATAAATCAGGTTTGGAGGCTTTGAAATGCCCACTGGCTTCAATGACCCCATTACATACTTGGACATTATAGATCATTTCTTCCCCACCATGTCTAAGGATAGTACCATTTTACCAGATCAACTGGTGTAAATCAGCAGTGCACCACTGGCTCCAGAGCTAGGCTAATTTTTGCTAGCTGGGGCACCATAAGACTTCTATACCACTGATATGGTCATCTATCCTGTGTCCGACACCTTAGTATCGGAGTGCCTCTCAAAGTCATAGATGCATACACAAGATGTGTGTAAATTAAGTCCAGCATAGGCAGAAGCAATGTAAGATCCCACACACCAGTGTACTTCACCTTGGTCCTGGATGTGCCCATGAGCCATTTAACCCTTGATTTCTTGGATGAAGTTTCCAAGACGGAGGACCATTGATAAGGCTAGTTTTAGTGAGGAGGATGCCTAGCCACTGGGAACCAGCCTGAGACAGAGTATCTTATGTTGTATCAGTGGCCTGTGTGACATCAGACAGCAGCGACTTTTAGTCGTGATCATTCAGGGCTAGGATCTGATGTCACATTTTCAATGTCGTCTTTTATCTTTCAGTAGGAGGCTAGCCCTGGGGAGAACCGTATGGCATAGTGTCTGTTCTAAAAAGCAACTTTTTGCTACTTTAGCAAATTCTCCCATTTCCCAGCATTACCTTTCAGAATAGCTAGTTTGTCTTAATCCTAACTTCTTAGATTCCAGAGGAATTCTAGACACAGGTAAGCAGCGCACTCCAACATATGCACCATTTTCCTATTTGCTTGTTGTTTCTGGTAATAAGCCTCTCACCCAAAAGGGCTTTTTCATTCCTGTTGCAACATTTTGTCAATATTGGGTTACTAATAACGACTCATCAGGAAAAATCTTTAAAAACCACTGCACCGCCTCCTCCTGTGAGGTAGAGAATCAGAGATCAGCAAGAACCCTTTGGACAGCCTGTCAAATGCGCTGTAGATTAAGTAGTGGCTTCCCTCCCCTGAAGCCTTCCCTGAGGCCCATAAACATCTATTTAGCACCTTCCACATGTAACCACAGCATGAGATTTGCCTGCAAGACAACCACCATCACCTGCCATGTGCCAACAGGCAATCTCAGGTGGACCACAGGATGATTAATTCTGAACCACCCACCTTTCCAGAAGCATGCTCTCCCCACCCAAAGTATCCAGTCAAGTTAATGGATTCCAGGAACCTCAGTTCACCTTTTCACAGCTTTAACCAGTAAAGCTTTGGAAAGAAAAAAATAAAATAAATAAATAGAGTGCAAGTTTACAGAAGACTCCATAAGCAGGAAGTGAAAGGCATGTAAAGTCTGCTGAATATTTGACTGGAGGTCATAAATTACAACTGGTTAATGGCATTCACAGCAGTCAGAGTGAGATTCCTCGGTA